TGTTGCTAGTCGATAACGTACCAAATTTGGACGTGGGAGAAGCTTTATCACACGAGACAAATACATTCGAGCTCCGACAATATATTTTGGGAACGACTGAATAATGGTATTAAACAATCGTCAACAATTTAATTGAAGCTAAATAATTTTAACTCAAATAAATTTGTATATGAAAATCAGCAAGCGAGAAGACAAAGAATAACTTCAAACATATTGAGTTACATTACCCTTCAAATGATACATGAAGGGGAGTATTTATAGTGTTACAAATAAAATGGTGCCTGTTGGATGAAAATCCACGTGGCCTTATCTCCTTGGCCGAATACAATCCTAGGCATCAATTCGAGTTTCCTAGCCTGTGGTGCATTTAATTCTCTTATAAGAGCGGCTACCTACTGCCTAAATTGGCAAGACAAGATATTTTATTCATTACAAAAATTCCATCAATCATTCCAAAAGGACTTCCTACATAAATTCATAATCCTTTTGTGTGGGTCGTCGCTTGCTATAGTTGGGCTTCGATTGCTGTGGTTGGGATTTGGTTGCTATGGTTGGGCTTTGGTATTAGTAGAGCAAATACAAGTGAGCCTTGGACTTAGCTTCAGGGCCTCATCTTTTGTGCAAACGGCTAGATCGTCTAGTCTAATAATCAACCGAAAGGCCTTAGTAGGTTAGCCACGTGGAGCCACAGGTGGCGATATATCATGGGTGGACTTTAGCATTAATATTTCTTTATGTTATGGATATACCTAACATTTATTAAGGCCAAGGCACGATATTGCTACACTGTCGAGGCTCCTTTTATTTTGAAGCTAACTAAAATTTATGTTGAACCGAGATAGGATGACGCTGAACTGTCGATGTTCCTTTAATTTGTAGATAGCTAAAATTTATTTTGAACCAAGGTAGGATGATGCTGAACTACCGAAGCTCCTTTAATTTGTAGATAGATGAAATTTATTTTGAACCGAGGCAAAATGATGCTGAACTACTAAGGCTCTTTTATTTTGTAGGATGTTGACCTCGATAGCGGTGCCAATGATTTGATATTTTTGTGTATTATCAAGAAAAGATAGCCGAAGTATTTCCACTTCAATATGCATATGGTTGTTACACGGAATGTACAATGATGCTATGGTGCTGTATTTGAAACATAACACCCTGAGGCTTGTGCATGGGAGACATGCATCAATATAAGGCATCTGTAAAAAGAACTGTTTTAATTCAATGCCCAAGATATGGCTGAAGATTAGATGCCTCAGATCAAATGGATCCTAATCTAACGGTTGGGGCTCTTTTTCTCTTTAGTATAAAAGCTAAAAACTGCCATTGTTATATTTTTATGGATCACTGATAAAAGCTTACATAATTATTTTAGAAATCGAGTTCCCTTGTTTGGTCTACCATTATTTTCCCATCCAATGCAGAAGACCAGAAGAAAAGAGATATCTAGAATAGCACAGCGAAAAATTTCTGCACAATATCCTGAATGTCATGGTTGCTTGCTCCAATGGTCATCAAATTGGTGCTTTCTGAGCTCAATATCACATTACCTTTCTCTACCAAACAACCAGTCCACAATTAATATATTCATATCGATTGCTTCTCAATCTCATCCATAAAGAATGGCATGATTTGCAACCATAAAGGCAAGAAGAAAAAACCACTAACGAGGTAAAGTAGAGACCACAAAATTAAGAACAAATAAACATACAATGACGATATAATATAGGATCACCCACATATCTTTCTGGAATCATGTTCACATAGAACAATAGATCAACACTAAGTTAATCAATCAAATAGTTAAAACACATGTGCAACAAATGCATAAATGGCCGCACGAAATGATCTCACTGTACTAAGCATATCCCATTCCATGTTGCTCACACCTCGAGAATACATATCTTCTCTTATCGCCTATTGTGCTCACTAGATGATTACTCAACTCATGTCTAACTTGTAAACCACAATAGATCCGAAGTTCTCAGGATAATCCTCTATCACCACATCACTTCTCCCAACCTACGTGGATAATGTATCTCCACCTAATAAAAGTGATAGGATTGCCTCTCTCTTACGCTCCACCTGACCAGAGTTTGTAGAAGCCCGAGAAATAAAATGAAATTAGACTATTATGTTATGATGATCTAGCATCACAAGCCTAGCTTATTCAAGAAACGAGCTATAGAAGCTCAACCCACTTAAGATTTTAAAAGCTCAAACCATAAGTAAATCAAAAACCCAACATTTAAGAGATTAAGTTTAAGTTAATTTGATTACAAAGATTTAATAAATAATTGGGTTACCACAATGGTCATCTACAAGGAATTTCATATAGGCAACCCAAGTTCGAATCACCATGTAGATGTTTTTATAAAACTTTTATACGAATTATTTTTTTGGCATAGAAACTCTCCAAATTCTTAGTTAAAGACCAAATTTAATAAATTTAATGATAATACAACTCCCTCACTTAGTTTTTCACTAAAAAGAAAGGTTACAAGAAGTGGAAGGTCACTTTTTCACTATACCCCTTTTCTAATCCGAATTTCATATCATTTTCTCTCAAAAAAAAATATATATTTCATATCAATTTAAGTTAAGGGAATAACAAGGGTGAGAAGAAGAAAGACTTTCTACACATTTTGTTCTTTGATATCCAAAAAAATTCAAGGTAGGTAGAGGTGCAAGTGTTTACTTCGTTTCAATTATGATTTTCGATAAATGTTTGAATGAAATGATATCTCCGGGTATGGTGCTTCAGCACTACAATAATTTGAATGATCATTCTTCAACTCTACATGTTATGATAATACTATAGTAATTGAATTTTGCTGAAAATCTATCTACATGCGATGGTATGAATATATAGTTAGAAATTTTTAATTTGACAACGAAATGCAACAATGATACCTATTGAGTTTCAAACTCATGGGTTATTTCCCTTCCTATAGGTTGAATGGATTTGTCTTGGGGCGTGGATGATGGTAAAGGTGATGCGACATGTCATGGAGAAGCCGGTGATTTAATATCTTTAGTTGATTATGAAATGTTTACGTTTTCTTTAAATTAGATTCTTATGGATGTCGTGTGTGGATATATTCTACGAACATTTTTTATGAATAAATTATATTTGAAAGTAAATATGTATCATAGTAATGAATTTACAAATCAACGTTTACAAAAAAATATGTGAGCGATTTAGAGTTTTGCTGTCTTTTTAAAAAATTCAAATTCTTCCTCACTTTTAAAAATTCATAACTCCTTTGTTTCTTTATATTTTTATACAAAACAAGTGGCATTTGAAATACTTTTACCACAAGTTGGATCTGTTGTATTTTGAGAGACAAGTGCTCTAATCCGTTAGTACCATTGTGGGGGTAATTTTGTCTTAAGAAGAAAGTGTTTTATCATTTGCCTCGAATTTTCTTTCATCTTTCAATCTCCTTCATTTTTCTTTCGATTTCTATTCTATATATATTGAGTTTAATTAGGTTCCTATAAATTAAACTTAACCATTAATTTTGTTAATTGCAAACAACCATTTCATTACACAAATCACCAACATAAAATGCATATGATATGTGTCATGCTTTTATTACTATTAAACTCGTGCACTACTATGTTAAAAAAGACGGAGGACTGTAACTGAGATTTATTTATTATTATTTTTTTCTGTGAGTGCACCAGATATTTCGAGAATAGGTGAAAATCATAATCATGAGAGATTATCCTCATTTAATACATAAACAAAGAGTATATTGTATTGGCTTTGTTGTCACATCAATAAAATTTTGACACCTCCTATTTTAGTGAACAAATAATCTTTTTTATTTTCTACATAATGAACCGTGCACTAAAATTTTGGCATATCAAAGTTGTAGTAATATGTGAGCATGCACTTTAGTAGTGAGACAACCGAGGATACAACCAAGCCACAACAAAATAAAAAGGTTAATTCCATATTCAATTATTCAACTTTTGGTGAAATCTCAATTGGATTATTAAACATTAATTTGTTTCAATTGGATCACTGAAATCCAATTTGGTTTTAAATTATACCAATATGTCACGTCTCATAACTTCTTGTCTTCAAATTAATGAATATTGATTATTTGACATTCAAGAATATATCGTGGGTGGCATGCCAACTCACCAGTGTGCACCGTGCCACATTAGAAAAGTTTTAAGATCTAAGACATGCCTTGCCAAACAGCATTTCGATTTCTATTGGTTAATCTTTGTTCACAACAAATTGATGCAAGTAAAGGCAAATCTTGGCCTCCGTTTGGCCTCCATTCTTTTTCATTTTTTTCCTCTCTTATTTTTAACCACACAATTTTTCATAAAATAATTACACGTAAATTGAAGACTTTCTATTCTTTTTCAACCACACATTCTTAAAAATAAAAATAAAAATAAAAATAAAAAACTATTCCAAATATTAAATTTGGAAAAAATGGAGGCAAACGGGGGCCAAAGCCCATTGATTACCCATTACATATTGCCTCCCAAATAAGCAAATACCGTTAGTTTGGGGGATGACATGTTAGATAATATGATGTAGCAAAATTTAAAACTAAATTGAAATTCAATGACCCAATTGATACAACTGAAATTTCGCTAAAACTTCAGCAGCTAAAATTTACACTGCTAAAGAGATCAAAATCACATGCATGGTATCTAAAACAAACTAAGAGCTTGTTTGAGAGAAATTTTTTCACCCAAAAAAATTGATTTTTTGTCCGTTATTTCACTATTCCAACCGTAATTTTTGACTTCTTCTCTCACAGGTGGATCCCACTTTTCTTCTAACCGTAAAAAAATCAATTCTCAAAATCCCTCCCAAACAGACTCCAAGACACGTTGAGATTTTGCTCTATAACACAGTTTCATATCAAAATCAGATGGATGCTCATGGTAACACGTAGTTAGTGCATGACATTTTTACACCACTCTACGCGTTTACACCGTCTAAAATGCATCAACAGTTCGAGTGGCAGAAAGAAAAGAAGGGCTCATTTTATTTTACTTCAAAAAGTACAATACTTTATGGAAGAATTCAAAGACTGTAAAATTTATTGGCACCCAATTTGAAAATAAAGATTAGAAGGGCAAAACTTACAAGCTACACTTTATTCACTAATACAAATTGTAATCATGCATATATGTCTTACGACCATTCCGACCACTTCATCTTCTTCTTGGTATTTCTAGCTTCTATCAGTATATACAGGACAAGAGCTTACAGAATTATTTTCAAAATTGATAGGGTGAAGGATGAGAGGACGTGTTGAGAAAATCCAGCATTTTTATTTTCCTGTTCTCATTTCCTGTTTTGCATGTTCTAGCAGTTTGTTTTGCATTATCCTTCTGTTAGCTATTTCTTAGGAATTTTCCCTCCATTCTTGCATGTAATTTGAACGTGGTTTTCCCTATATAAACCACAGTTTCAGTTCTAATAAAAGGGCAGAGAAATATTTATCCAAAAATGTTCTAGTTGTGGTACAATTCTCACCCGAAGAGAATTATTTTTTCATCATTTTATGCGCATTTGACTGGGACCTATCAAGTGGTATCAGAGCGGGGTTAATGGCCACCAACAGAGAACGGATTGAAAGCTTGGAGGTGGGTCTTAGTGGTCTTCAAGAAGGCATGAATCGTATGGAGCTAGGGATTACAGATAAGTTCCATCAGTTAGAGGAGATGCTTCGTTCATATAAGGAGGACTCTCCCAATACCTCTCGCAACAGTGAGCGAGGAGAGAACTTTCGAAATCGCCGCGACAACAATATAGAAGACGTCAACGGTGGACGACTGGTGTGCTCCGCAAAAATGGCAAAATTGGAATTTCCCCGATTCAGTGGAGAAGACCCTACAGAATGGTTCAATCGTGTGAACCAATTCTTTGAATTCCAAACTATCCCGGAAGCCCAGAAGGTGTCGCTGGCATCTTTTCACTTGGAAGGCGAGGCCAACCAATGGTGGCAGTGGCTTCGGAAGACATACCAAAATGAAGGGCAGGCATTATCATGGGAGATCTTCGAGGATGAGCTATGGGCACATTTTGGACCATCAGAGTGTGAAGATTTTGACGAGGCTCTTTCTCGGGTCAGACAAGTCGGCTCTCTAAGGGACTATCAACGTGAGTTTGAGAGGTTAGGCAACTGAGTTCGTGGATGGACTCAAAAAGCACTTGTGGGAACATTCATGGGAGGATTGAAGGACGAGATTGCTGATGGTATCCGAATGTTCAAACCACAAACGTTGAAGGAAGCTATAAGCCTTGCTCAAATGCGAGATGAGCAGCTGATACGCCAACAAAGTTTCAGACAACCACTTTCAGCCAATGGTTCCACTCAAACAACTCTTGTGAAGAGGCTAACATGGGATGAAATGCAGAAACGAAGAGCACAAGGTCTTTGTTTCAATTGCAATGACAGGTTTACTGCAGGTCACAAGTGTCAAAAATCACAAATATTATTGTTGGAGGGGTGCACAAACACGGGCAACATTATCTGTGAAGAGGTCATAGAGGGCAACCCACTTGAAGACAAAGCAAGTGCAAGTGATCCATACCCAGGAAGACCACCAGAAGCAGCCTCCAGGTGTGGACCTTGGGGACAAGTGTCCACTTGAGGGGGAGGTATTGATAGGGTGAAGGATGAGAGGACGTGTTGAGAAAATCCAGCATTTTTATTTTCCTGTTCTCATTTCCTGTTTTGCATGTTTTAGCAGTTTGTTTTGCATTATCCTTCTGTTAGCTATTTCTTAGGAATTTTCCCTCCATTCTTGCATGTAATTTGAACGTGGTTTTCCCTATATAAACCACAGTTTCAGTTCTAATAAAAGGGCAGAGAAATATTTATCCAAAAATGTTCTAGTTGTGGTACAATTCTCACCCGAAGAGAATTATTTTTTCATCATTTTATGCGCATTTGACTGGGACCTATCAAAAATCTAGGTCCCTTGTTTGGTCTGTCATTATTTTTCCCATCCCATGCAGAAGACCAGAAGAAAAGAGACATCCAGAATAGCACAGAGAAAAAGATCTGCACAGTATCCTGAAATCTGGTGAAATTTGCGGCAACACCTGGTCCAATATATTCCCAGTCAAGCTATTAAAAATTGCATGGGAGATGTATACAATCGATATGAAGAAGTGCGAATAAAGTAGTAATGAAAACATGTATAAAATATAAGATACACCAACTGGTAATATCAGACACCAATACTCCAATCCTAAAAGTAATCTGCATAACTGCATTTTATGGACTGACAGGAAGCAAGAGGGTCATCAATGATCATGAGAAGTCAAAATATAGGCCCAGCAAGAAGCCAAGAATCATCAAATTCAATTTGTGCCATGGTTATTCAAACCAGACATTATTTCCAATAGCAAAGATATTTGCCCACTCTGCACCCTGGAAGTGGGGGCATCAATTATGGATTAACACGCTCAATATTCATTAAAATAAGAAGATAAATTCGGTAACCATGGAAAGGAGAATTAAAACTATCTCAGCCTCGTCAAAAGACAAATCTAGTCCAAATAAGATTATCAGCCCAGTCCAAATTCTAATTCACAGGACCTACAATTAGTATAAATAGAGCATCTGACAAGATCTTTAGGCACTCTAAAATTACGTAGTACAACACAACCAGTCTTTATTTATAATATTTGCACAGTTAGTTCACTGTCTTAACCAAACTTATCCATGGGGATTCCCTGTCCCCCAAACAGTTCACTTTGACATTTCCACAGACATTGTTGTAAATCATTGAGGTTAAATTGACATGGACATTCAACTGACAGATTTTAACCCCAACAAAATAAATCACAAACATCAAGATGAAGCATCTACAGGAACATTGAAAAGCCATTTTATCACAACTTCATATCTATTGTTCAGCATTCCATGATAATGCATGATTAATCTGAAAAAAAAAAAAAAAAAAAAAGGTTGAAGTCTCCACTAATTTCGTGAGGAATTTTGTATTTTCCAAATAGACCTTGTCCTGTTCTAGTTCAATGGGTTGAGAACCTTAAATTTAAGTTCATCAGGCATGCATCTCAAATCACCGGGCAACTAAAACAACTGACCATTAGTGGTCCACGATTAATCTGATGCACGGAGGTAGGGTAATTCTACTTTCATTGAACACATGAATCATCTTTTAATCATTTTGCTTTAAGGCAGCCCTTGCAAGGAGACTAAATTGTGTCTTCTAACATTGATTAACCAGTTCATATGCCCAAGAATTATAATCTCTTGCAGCTTTTCCTTCTGAAATGAGGTTGAAAGCCTCAAAATAAAGTTTACATCAGTATTGGCCCCTATATCAAGAGGCATCCTTGGTCCAACTTTCAAGGGCATAAGCTGAAAAAACTTTTCACTTCACTTAAGCCTCCAGGAGTTTACAATCAGCAAGTCCCAGGGAAAGGCGATCATCTAAGTTGACAACATTCATTACCCAGTCCATGCCATGTGTGCCTAGATACTCAATGTTGCATTCTCATCAAATTTCTGAGCTCAAATGTGTTATCATTTGAAAAAAATTCTCTTTGGAAAGTTAGCTCTTTAAGATTTTAAATATTAAAGATGATCAACTTAATTGAAAATCAAATATGCTGTTGGAAAATCATAAAGAATCCCGACGAAGTAGAGGAGTCAACAATTTTATCTTAAACCTGATTGATTCTGTAATATTCTGATTTTGGTAGGTTTTCTACTTTAAAACTGCACGCTAATCTTCAGGGCAGAAACTTAGGAGATTGTTCCCTTCTTTTTCTATATAGCTACTATATAAAATGTACAGTCTTCTCCATTAGGAATAAGGAATAGACTACATGGGGATTCATTGTATTAAGGCCAGGGACCTTTTCAATTTTTGAAATATACCTTCTGTTCCGTTTGATAATGGAAGGGAGTTTCTTAATCAAATCATATCACCATATTTCCAAGAAAAGGGCATTATCCATCAACTTTCTTTTGTTCTCAACAAAAAAAGGTGTTGCAAAAAGAAAAATATGGGAACTTTCTAGAAGTCACTCAAGCCTTAATATTCCAAAATAATGTATCAAAATCGTATTGGAGGGAAGTCAAGCTAATTGCCAACCATTTGATCAACCAACTACCTTCTAGAGTCTTAAACCACAAAGCTCGAATGATTGTGTTTTCAGATTATTTTCCGATATGATTTAGGAGAACCCCTCCAAAAAATTTCTGATGTGTATCATCTGGTGATATTCATACTCAGCGTCGCAGTAAATCTGATCCTATTGGAAAAAAACCAATTGTGTGTAAATGTGTATATAAAGCCAATGGAAATTTAGACAAATACAAGGCACAATTGGTGGCTAAAGATAATACTTAAACTCATTGCTTGGAATAGTTATTAAGAAACTTGAAAGCCACTAGAGAAAATGATAAATGTTCGTGTTTTACTATCTTTGGCAACTAATCTTGGTTAGTCCTCACAATAATTCGATGTCAAGAAGAAGAAAAAATTTATATCGAAGCCTTGCCAGGATTTGATGTCTTAACAAGAGTGAATGTAGACTCAACATGGCACTCTTTGGTGCTAAGCAATCTCCCAAAGCATGGTTCAACAAGTTTAATACAGGCATCGAAGAGATGAAATTTCAAGCAAGGGCTGTAATAGTAAAGTCTTTAACAAGAGAGAGAAGACAGAAGATCTATCTTGATACTACCCCTATCTTTTGACATCACATCTCTATATACAATAATAGTGGGTGCAGAATCCCGTGTATTCTACTGGTATAGAATCTTTGTTTATTACTAGGGAGGTGGGCTTCTTCCATCTAGCCGTCATGGGAAAGCCAAAACTTGTATATAATAAGTCAATGTTGGGTCGATCGAGAATCTTTCTCAGTGAAGCGGAAAGATAACATCAAATCAGACCGGGAAGTGGTTTCATCCGGTTGGCGAAATAGTTCGATCTCTAGTCAGCTAACTAAGAAAAAAAAAATTGCTTTCTCAATTCTTTCTTGATACAACGATTTCTAGTGAGGAAAAAGGGATAGTTGCATTTGAGGCCCCAAACCTTTTAAACACTTGCAAACTTCCCCTAACCTTCATTCGTTGCAACTGTCACCCATAACCTTCCGAAATGTTGCGACTGAAGCCCCAGTGGATGGATTCCATCCAAATATCTGTTAGTTGACCATGAAATTGAATTTGACCATTTTTTTCATAATTTTTAAAAAGGGCATAATGGTAAATATTTATAATATTATCTTTTAAAAACTAATAAAGTAAATAAAATAAAATAACTATCTATCATCTTCTTCACCACCCCACCCCCCAAAATCGAAATCAGACCACCCCAAAATCCTTGTAATATGATAATTGGGGGTGGATTTCAACATTGGAGGAACAACAGAAGACTGCCAATGACGATCAATGTGATAAGGGAATAAACGCATTAAAGAAAGCGAGAAAATGGTCGGAGATAGTGGCTGGTCCGAAGTGGAAGACATTCATCCGTCGATTACAAGAGCGGCAGGTGCAAGATTGGGAAATTCCAGTATAATCCCTTGAGTTACGCATTAAACTTCGCCGACGGTAGGCTGGGACAAAACAGTCAATTGTGTGGTGTGGTTGGTGTAGCATTGAAAAGGCCAGGAGTGAAGAGGTTAAGATAAGGAAGCCAGAGCAGCACAAATTGTTAGGTGGTGGTTTTGTTGTGTGTGAGGGGGTGACGGTGGTCGATTGTGGCCAATGACGACGATCGATGGTAATAGATGGATGGATGGGTTTTAGAGTGGCGGTGGGTTTGGTAGAGGATGAAGATCTATAGTTTTTATTATATTTTTCTTTTTTGGATTCTCTCATTTAATTTTCAACTTATCTTAATGTAACAAATGGAAAGTTACTATTTTACCTTTTACAAAATATAAAAAATGTAGTCAAACTCAATTTCTTGGTCAACTAACAAACATTTGGATGAAATCTGTCCATTGGGGCTTTAGTCGCAATATTTCGAAAGGTTGGGGGTCAACGGCTGTAATAAATGAAGGTTAGAGAAAAGACTGTAACTATTTGAAAGGTTTGGAGACTCCACTGCAATTATTTAGAGGAAAAATGACAAAGCCCAGAGATCATACCATCCTCATAAAGCCACTTAGCCGTGGGAAGGTTACAACTTCAATTGTTGATGTGGATGACATAATTGCGACGCCAATAATTTTCAAATGATGGAATGGTTAAAAAAACAATCGACCAAAGAATTTGAGATAAAAGATCTCAAGGAGACTTGAGTATTTATTAAATGTTGTAGTGGTTCACTCAAAAAGTGGTATACTTATATCACAACATAAATGCATTCATCTCCCTAGGGAAAATGGGATGCTAGGGTACAAGCCAAATGATACACCAATTGAATAGTACCAAAAGCTTCGAGAGATTAAGAAAGACACATTAGTAAGCTGAGGGGCATATCAAAGGTTGGAAGGTAAGCTATTCTACTTATCTTGTACATACGAGTTCATATATAGCATATGTTTGTACATGGTAACATGGTGAGTCAATTCATGCAATCACCTAGTGAAAATTAGAATAATGGTTTGATGCTTGCCAAAAGCCCTTCGGAATATTGTAATGCCATTTAAGATTCTCATGAACCAGTTATTTTTTTATTTTACTTACCCTTGTTTGATTTAGATAAAAAATCAAAATTCTTTTTATTAGATTTTGATAAAAGTTCATGAAATGTGTGATTAAAAAATTGATAAAAGTTGCATATTCCATGAAATGTATGGTTGAAAATGAGCTTAAGAAAAATGAATTTTGGAAAACATGGACTAAACAGGAGCTTAATCTTATGAGCCTGAGCGAAATTTATGAGGTCAAAAGGATTCTGCAACGAGATCTTAGATTTCTTCTACTATGGAGAGAAATATGCAAGTCTTGACCTATCTCCTACTACATGGAATTAACAAGTCATGTTGTGATCATGTCATTCTCAGCCTACCACGGTCAGAGAGAGATACCCTTCTCCTTCTCGAGTATGCGGTTGAGTCGCTAATGTAACTAAATTTACTCTTGTATAAACATCTTAATTTATTGT